AATCTTGATCATTATGTCATTAATGTCATAATGTAATTAAGATGGCATATTAATATATTCTTGCAATATATTATTGCAAAATCATTTATTACATGAGGTATTTATCATTACGAGATATTTTCGTGGAAGAGAATTAATTGTCAAAAATAATTTGTTAAAAGTGTGCTCCTATTAAAATTTGTTGCTTTTATGATTTTACATACTACATTCACATATATTATATCTTTCTCTGTAACCAGACCCAATTTAATTTCTCTGAGCATTGCGCGTTTTATATTTTTGTTCAATATCCTCGTTGCAAAAAGTCAGAAAGTGACTGGAATATTATCTGAACAAACATTCTGATTGGTTCTCTAAATAACGGTTTTGTACCCACGTGACCATTCACGCCGCGAGCCGTGGCCGATGGCCGTGGTAAGAGCNAGCGGTTGCAAACTGTTTCAAACTATCGACAGAAGTTTCCGCCTACCAGACGGGATTTAATTAAATATCGCTAAACGCGTAGCGGCTATATGTAATGTAGAATCGCTATAAATCGACTCGCACAGAAATACACATGTAACTTGGTCGCGGCAAAAATTTCAATACTCGCGGGGGAAAAAGCGGCGCGTTTCAAACGGGATGAAACTTCCGCGTAATACACATTCGATATAAAAAGTTACGTTCGCAATATGAGAAATTCTATCACGCGTGTTTTTCGCCTCGGTAGTACGTCGCTGTATTTAATATTATGAAACAAAGTATCTGACGTGTGAGAAAGAAAGATGAAAAATAATGTCTCGAAAAAAAAATGAATGATGCGTGATCATTATTATGGACCGGATTAAAAAAAATGCTAATTATTTTCAATATTCAGATAGTAGGAATGTTTCAACCAGGAATCCGCAAATTAAAGAATCTCGCGCGTCGAAGTTTTTTTATTTTTTTCTCCTCTTGTGTGCTCGGAGTTATTTCTTGTAAAATCTCCTGTGAGGTTTTTAACGAGCCAAAACTGGAACGATCGATTGGCGGTACGTCCAACCGCAAAAACGCAAGCTCGAAATATATCGGGCAAGCTTTTTTGCTCGTTTCTCCGGCAGATTGCACCGCCATACGTTTCTCGTTTTCGTTCTCCTATCATATGACAAATTGTTAGTCGAACATTACGGAGCGTACGTAAATTAAAATAGGTGCGCCAATAAATGGCGCGGAACAGTGATGGAAGAATCTTTTTTTCAATATAACATTAAGCGATAATACTCAATAAAAAATCAGCTAAAAAATCGAAAATTTATGTAGATAAATGAAAAGGTAGATTTATGTTGGAAACGCGATATTTTCATTTAATAGAATCCAATTACATTATATATATATGTATATCATAAATCTTTAAACGTTTATTCATTTAATCAACGTGTGTTGTATGTGCTCACATGTTTTATCAATAATATTACATGCGTAGTGAATAATTATTGAATAATTGCGAATGTAGCAATGTCAAATATTTAATTATTAAATTGAATTCTATTATATTGATATTTAAAATTTTATTGATGCTGTTACACGGAAAATATTATAATTCAATACTTAGCTACATTACTTTTTATCATTTATTATAATTTTCAATATTAAGTATCATTATAATAAAATTTTACATCAAGTTTCTAAGCAAATTATTATCTGAAATTTACCGAAAAGTATAGTTTTGTTATATATAAATACATGAAAAGAAAGTTTCTCTAAGAAATATTTTTTTCAAAAATTAGTCAAATATTTGTCAATCGAATGGTGAGTTTTAAATTCTGCGCGATTAACTATGTAATTTCTCGAATATTCTTGGCGAAATATCGCGTTCGATATAACCGATGACTCGCTGGAATAATTGTATCGCCATCGTATTGCAACAACTATATCGAAGCTCAAGGAAATCATTAACGACGAGCGAAAGTTCCGCAATTAAGGTATCCTGTTTGCGCCAGTGTGTGTATGTGTGTTTGTGACATCATTACGTTAATTATCTCCGGTAATTGTATTCGAGGCATAAATTACAATCCGCGATCGAAATTGTTCAGAATATTTCTGTGCTGATAGAGATGTTACGGTAGAAACGATTCGTATTTCTAAATTTTTTTTTTTTTTTTATGGACGCATTATCGAGTATCGCGTCACTTGCGTTGTTTTTAAAAATAAATTCCTGTCGACCACACAATGAGGAATAATCGCGATAATTCATCGAAATGCCTATGTTATCCTCTCGAATAAATCACGAAACGCATAATTAATTGGGACGATTGTCTATCACACTGCGATATCGATAGGACAGCCCACTTTATTGACTGAATATTAATGTCCATAATAAACACTCATTGATTCAGATATAGTTCTTGTTAATATATGCGCTGTTATCGGATCTAATATTTAACGTCGAAAATTGAGAGAAATTGTGACAAATAATTTGCCAAACGCGAGACTTTAAACGAAAATAATTATATAAAAAATTATATAGAAAAAAGTTATATTTTTTTTTACTTGTAATTTTTTTACGTTATAAATCCATGAGAAATCTCACGATTCACTATTCACTATCTAGTATATCTCTTTCGTTTCGGCGCTTTATCGACTCACAATAGTTAGGTTTTGGTACCATAGGTCGCGGTCGATCGATTAGCGGGATTTCAATTAACCTCGGCAGAGGCAACGAAAAAGCTGCCGAAGGTGGTCTGGGTTAGAGAAGAGGGAGGGGGAGGCGTGTGACTCAAACTTCTAAATGCGGCTCGGTTTGCAAAATCGTCGTGGGCTCTCATTGAGCTCGCCTGCTGCAATTGAGGTCTGGGTTGCCGATCCTTCTCTTCCTCCGCAATCCGTCCTCATTTCCCTTTCCCTTTCCCCTTTTAATCCCTGTCGCGCTCGTTTACGATTCATCTTGATCTCTGTCCTTTGTTTAGTTCCAATCTCGTCTCGTATTTATACGTTTGAGACTCGTACATTCAAATTTTCAACGTGTTCTTTTTTTTTTTTTTTTGAAGAAGAAGAAGAAGAAAATTTATTTATTATATTAAATGTTTTTAAAAAATATTATAATTTTCGAATATATATATAGGACATCTTTATTATTCCATTTTATTCTATTTTATAGATATATATATACACTTTTTCCTTCTCTCTCTCTCTCTCTCTCTCTTTTTTTTGTTCTACTTTCTCTCTCTCTCTCTCTCTTTGTCCTCTCTCTCTTTCTCTCTCTCCTCGGACGGAAGAAAGATTCGAAGTCGAAGTCGAGTTCACGGTTTGAGAGGAAGGGCCCCATTTCCACCTTCCCTATTATGGATTCCCCGCGACACGCTTCCCCGCTTCGCCGCACACGAAAGCTGAAACTTTCGCCTTAATGACAGAAGTTTTATTGCTGGCCATCGTTCAAGCCGCCGACATGCTAGAAGTGGGCGAATGTCGCGATTCGTCGCGAGTACATATCTCTGTCGTTTTCACCCGACTTCCAACCACGATTTCCAACCACGCTCAAAATTCGGAAAAGCTGATTTTTACACTTGCTACACAATCGATGTGTTTTTTTTTTTTTTTTTTATATCTCTCCCAAAGATTTTCGTATATACTTGTATGTTATATTTGTATGTTATTACTATCGGTGCTTAAGTACGTAAATGCTCGCGAAAAAAAGAGTTTATCTTGTTAATTATATCGTAATCTAAATTAATTTCCTGTATAACAAGAGTGTTAAAAATATGACCTGTAATATTAACGCGCGCATTATATTATGCGTATTTTTGATCCACGCAGGATAACGCACATGTCGTATGTAAATATACTGTAATTTAAATTTTTCGCCGAGGAGAATGCTCGGAGCAAAATTTCGTGTCGAATAACTTTTCATCGTGTATCGAATTCAATGTTGCGATTGAAAGTATTTGCATCCTTTATCGCGCTTTCGTCGCGCCCCTTTATCTCTGATGGGAACATTCTGCACATTTTGGAAAGCATTGCGTTAAATGATGCATTCGTTAAATGATGCATTTGAAAAGGACGCTGCAGGCGCTTTGCAGCGGGGAAATTACCCGTATGGAGAATTTCCGAAACGTAATGGTGGCGCAGTACTACGATAAACCCGAGCGGAACTCCATCCCCGGCCAGGGAGGTTTATGCGCACATGCGAATATAGCACAATTTTACTCCACATCATAACTGCAAGGACCGCGAGGATGGTGATTGCATGATCCGTCCGGTTTTACGATAATTTCATAGGTGAAACGTGCTGATAATCCCAGGTACCAAGATACGATGTGTAAACGCGCTGTTTCATTTTTAATCTCAGAGATTTTGCACCAGTCAGCTCGTTACGTTTATTTTAATAACGCGTTTTTCCTGTTTTTTTTTTTTTTTTTTTTTTTTTTTAGAGGTGTATAATGAGAATTTTAAACAATTCGTAAAATATCTGTCAAGAATTAATACATAATCGTAAAATGTTGCGGAAAAATGAACGATGAGATAAAAAATAATTTTATAGGGAAATAACAATATCTATATGCTTTTATGATACGTAACAATGTTTGATTATTCAAATTTTTATTTTTTACGGAAAAGGAAAAATGAATTGTCGAAATAATCAAGCGATGTAACGTTCCGTTAAAATCTATTCGAATTGCGGCAAACAAATTTGCGGCGGGTCACGTTTCGTTGAAACTCTGGAGCAGATAGAAAGAAATTCCGTGAAGTCTTTAGAGCGTTTATTTTATTTTTACGATTGAACTTTATCGTGGAAGAATGGCATTCGTGATTGCGATTGGTATGCTTGAAATTTTCGCATTTTCAGACTGTCAATTTTTACAGGCAAACTTTGAACAGATTATAATCTTCTTATTAATTTTTTATTTAAAGTAAAAACGTATTTGCGTCTGTAATTTATGTATTATAAAAACGTTGCGAGGTGAACTCTAATATATTGTTCTCGTTATAAAAAGGATCATTCGCGACACGAAAAAGGAGAGACAAAGTCCTTTAAAAGTATTTACCTTTAACCGCATTGAGCTTGTTCCCGACCATCTGCTTCGCCACGAATGCAGCCATCTTGGTACTTTGTAGTTATCGCACCGCTATCGAAGTCACAATCTATAAAGAAAAATTGAAGTTATTACTTTATATCTTTTCGTGATAGAAGTCGGTAGAAAATGATGAAAAGTTGAATTGATTTTCTAACAGAAATTCGGTAATATCACCATATTTCCGAAAAATCACGACGCTTAACCTTTGAACCTTCTATTTTTCTCGAAAAATGTTCTTCCAAAACACGTTTCATGGAACAAGAATAATCTCCTTGTGTGATATTTTTATTCTATTCATTTCTCTTTATATGGCAGACGTTTGAAACTATCGGATTCTTCTCTTTTGTATGCTATCTTCAAACTCAGCATCACGATTGTTTCCAACATATGGCTTGAAGAATTTTTTAATAGTTATAATATTTGTGTATGTGTAGTTTCCTATTTTCTTGAATGTATAATATTTTACAAAAAGTCATAGATATTTTCCTACGCGATTAACCTATCTCGAGAACTTTACAAAGTAATAAAACTTTTTGTTTCATTTCACCAATGTAGAGTTAAAGTTTTTAGTTAAAATCTTTTATATTGAATAGAAAATGACAGAATCTTTGTTCATAAAGTTTTATGAAGTTGTCATCTTAATTATCATTTATTATTAAACTTTTGCTATTCTGACATGAATTATACATTTCCTTTTTAATTGAGTTTTTTATGTAGTGCTTTATGATTAAAGCATTTATTTAATACATTTTTTTCTATGATTTATCAGTAATACAATTGTGAGCAAGAGAAAAAGTGTGTTTGTATTACTTCTGCGATTTATATTCTTGTAAATTTTCACATATTTCAAATCTTGAAACAATTTTCAGTTATTGTTTCCATCGAAATTATCAAAGATCACGGTTACGAAAAATGCGCGTAACAACTTTCTTTCTCCATGTATATTTTCTTATAACCATTTTCTTTTCCTAACTTTGCGTACGTAAAAATGATATACGTTTCCCGTGGGATGATGTCATCCTTGATGTGTCGCCGGCGATGAAAGTATTTTAATCTTATGCCATATTCATACGTCACGTACGTCAAACTACCGGAAGAAAATAACATTTTTCGCTTCCATTATCTAAGCATTAAAAAATTTGACAATATCTAAAATAAACTTTGCGTTATAGTAGCTTAATACACTGAAAAAGTATTTCTATAATCGTATAAAAAATGATAGAATCTTTATTCGTAAGGTTTTATGAAGCTGTCATCTTAATTATCATTTATTATTGAACTCTTCATTAATTTTCATAGTCAAATTATTTATCTTCTGAAGATTAATATGTAATCGAAAGAAAAGAAGCACAATATTTTGAACATCAAGTTTGATGGGCTCATATTGTCATTCTTATACTTTTAGTTTTGTAACATAATTACGGAAGAGACTGTAATGGCCGAAGGAGGTAGATCGGTCAGGCGATGAAAGAAGAGGATCAATAGAGAAATATGAGGGAATACACACACACACACATACACAAAGGGTAGAGGAGGGAGGAAGAGAGCTGGAGTCTGGAGAAGACGACGCCAGTGAAACGGCGTCGAGACGTCTCGGCGCCTGTTCCCCAACCGTCGACCTCCGTGATTTTCCAACAACACGCGACAATTTATCCCGCCGCTACGAGTGAGACAGGGTTGCTAGCCACGTGCGCACACTCTTTTCCTTCCCCATGACGTAACACACTTTTGCTTTTATTAATCCTACCTAGCACTAATGTTGTTTAATCTTTTTGGTCTCTAATTTTTACATTTTATATATATACAAAGTGAAAATCTTATATTAAATGAAGCTTATTAAGTTAAGCCAACCAGACATTAGTTTAAATTTTATTATCTTCAATTTTAATCGTCCATTGCAATGAACGAGAGCTTAATAAATTAAATATAAAAAGATTTGAAATAAAACACGTAATTAAAATAAACATTTACTTGTACAAATTAAAATAAATATTTATTTGTCCAAATGTACAAAAACGGATTAAAGAAAGAAAGTACAGGACAAAGTGAAAGATTTTCAATCTTTGTAATTCATCCTATAAATTTGGACGATGCCAGAATCTCTGCATCGTTGAGGATCCAAGTAGAAATCTGCTGAAGTGCCTCTCTGTCTTGGAGGGAGAAAGAGAGAGAGAGAAGCACAGGGGAAAGA